CTTACCCGCAATATCTTAGCCTTCTGATTTGACTCCCTCTTCCAGAAAAAACGCACGAAATGAATAGTCAAGTACCTTTGGAATACATCCAAAAATAAAGGAGTTATGAAAACATTCTCTTCCAAAACATGTAAGCTATGAAACATCAAAATAGAAGATGGAATGTACATCGGTGAAATAAATGACATTTTAGCAAAATACAATATATATGGCACAATAAAGCCATTACCTTGTCAACCCAGTAATTCAGGACTCTTTGAAGTGAATTACACTGCGTCCCAAGGCAGGTGAAGCCTTTTCCAATTCTGATTTCAAACCCTATATATAAGCCTTATTAATTATATCTGGCTATCGACAGACTAAGAACAATGTTCTTCGATTGATAGAGATGAATCAATATAAATAATAGAAATTAGTATTGAAGTGTCAAGTTTTTATTTTAAAAAGACAAAATTAACGCACATTACAAGTTGAAACAGCAGCAAGAGGGAATTGAACAAAATAAATATCCCAAACACAGTTTTTTCCCCCATTTTCATTTGGCCACAAAGTTGGCAAGTGAGAACATCAAAACAAAAACATTGCATGAAGGAATTAATATGCTTAATACATATATAGAATAGGAAAGAATATAGCAGATATTTCTTACATATTTTAGACCATCGTGCAAATGGTTCACCTCCTGTGAAATAAGTTGATTCTGTCTCAGAACTTTCTTCACCGCTGTCTTGGCAATGAATCCTAGCAGTTAAACAAAGGTTGGATAATACTGGTAATTTTTCAAAGTACAGTTCAGAGAGAAATAAGCAGAAAAGAAAGCAAGTTGGCAAATTGTACAATGCATTGCTCGGTTATACAAAAACTTATGACATATGGACAAACTGACCAAATATTAGGTATATAATTAACCCAAAAGTAGCATAAACCAAATAAACAACAGAACAATCCCAATACCCATTTACCTTAGAACTGCATAAACTAGTTTGACGTAGGTATGAAAAACGAGGAAATTTGGGTTTTGCTGTCCAGACTATGTTGAAACTTGATCTTCTTTATCTTTTCTCCGGTGAGTATACCAATGATTTACTTTTATCTGTGTTTCTTGCATACACAGCAACATGACTCTTTACATTAGCAACACTAGCACTGTAAAGAGAGAAAGAATGTTGGTTAGTGGAACAAAAAGATACATACTAGGAAAGCACCATAGTAGATAAAAGAACTATGCGAGAAAACAGTCAGAATAAAAATAAAATAAAAAACAAATTAAAAAAAATAAACAAATAAAAATAAAAATTTTGCTTGAAACTTTTTCGATTTTGAGAAGTACTATGGATTTGCTCAAAACTTATGTCAGAAGGCACAACCTAGTATTAGTGATCTAAGCAACAAAGATGAAGAGAACTACCTGGAACCCGGTGATTGAAGAGACTGAGAAAGGGTGTATAAAAGTTGTGTCCAACATTCTTCAGCATCCTGTAGAATATTCCGAAATATATATTGGCATATAAAGAAATCTAAAACGGGAAGAGTATAAGGTACAGAATATAATTAAGAGAAAAACCTGCTGCATGAAGACACCATTATGCAACTGGCTGAATTGAGGATACTTTTTACGCAATACCTGAAGCCAAGATTTGTAAAAACAATAAGTTCTACAACCAAGTTCAATATAGAAACATACATAAACAATGAGGCTTCTAACGAATTTTGAAGAACATAGCAACAAATTCGTTGATAATCTAACAAAAGATATTTGCATGAAACTCCAGGAGTGGATGATAGAAAATATCTAGAAAGATTTGACAGAATAAGAAAGAAAATGTCAGACAAGGCAACTTACATGAAGTTTACTTAATGAAAATATCAAAATGTAGCATCATTCACCTACACATAAAATCTGCATGCTGCATACTAGGATTTACCTAAATTCTAGCAGACATGTTTCCTCCCTCTAATGATATACTATTAGCTTCCAAGATCAGAGAGAACATAAAGATTCAAATAATGTGTGACAGAGAAAAAGGGAACAAACCGTCCAAAATTGCATTGGCGCAACTGGCTTGACACTTTTATTAAGTTCATTAAATAGGTCACGAGTTGCAACTGTCAACATATGAGAAGTCTGATCCAAATCATTGCTTCTTACCGAATGTCAATACCTGGTCACAACTAAGACAGTATATATTAAATCTGCACCATACAAAAAACCATGCAAATATATTCTCAGATTTTCACATAATTATTGTTAGAAACAGAAGAAAAACTTACTTTAACAAAGCAGACTTCAACTCGGGGACAGAATGCAGGCATTGTATGGTGGAATTCATGTAACAGGTATTTCCCAGATTAAACAGCTCAGCACTAAGACCCTGAAACAAATATTAATCAGGTAAGAGCCCTAAGTTGCAAGGCTAAAGAAAAGGACAAAGGGTGAACCCCATAAGTAGATTAAGACTCCAGTTGATTAAAATTGTACCAACAATCGATGAAGGAAAAATATATTAAACAAAAAGAGCGAGTCAAGTTATCACCACATGCTAATTCCCTTCCCCCATCGCCCTAACATAACAAAAAGAAATAACAAATTGCTCTCAATACACTTCAGGATTCAGATCAAACAACAGAAACTCAGGCCAGCCTAATTTGTGAATAAGAATAGTTGGCAAATCTGTAACACAAAAATAGGCAAATCCATCAATATTTGTTTAATATGAGGAATGGTTCCTTTGTTGCCATGTTTTGAGTGTAAGCAAGGAAAATTTAGAAACATATATAATGATTTCATCCAAGTATCTTGGTACATATTGAATAGGTTTAAAGTTTATATCTTAAAAAAAAATACATGTCAACTAACAACCTCAATGATATTTAGCTATTCCTCATGTTCTTTGAGATCAATAGACCAGATGCTAGACTGCTGTGTAACTCACATGTAAGCATACAACTTGACACCGGCTGAACATGCAATAAAATCACACTGCACCTATAAAACCAAGGAATACTACAGTTACGCCAATCTTTTTGTTAATTAAAATGCAACAACCTATTTTCAGTTAAAAGAGGGAAACAATAACAAGAAAAATGCTAGTAAAAGCAGGGGATGAAATTGGCACTTACCAGAGACAGTGCTTGTTCTTCCTCTGGAAGATCTTCCATAAAAACAGGTCCCTTTTCTGGGGCCTTAACAACCTCATCAGCAGTGCCCATCATCATCAATTTTAGACCCTGGAAAAAACATTTTGTAACAAGGCACATGTTCATTAGGAAACTGTGCACAAACAAGGGAAGAAAGGGGGAAAAAGTAAATGCTATTGAGATCGTACCTGTTTTACTCCAACTGTTGACCAATCTGCATCATCCTACATAGTCAAAGAAAAAGTAAGAGAATTTCATGAATCATACTCAAAATAGGAGTAGAAACCATGTGCTGACTAAGGAAGCTAAGTATCGGTAATCAATCAATTTTTCTAGCTATTCAATACAAAAGCCAAGTACCTTCAATAAGCCACCTTTAACCATAATCTTCTGCCTTTCAGGAGGTACTCCAGTCAGATCATACAACTGGCACTTGAAAACGTATGGAGGCTGACTGGTGTCAATTTTCACTGATTTAAATACCTCCTTTCGCCATTTCACACTAACTGCAACATTCAAAAAGGATTGTTAAGAGTCCAAAATCATTATAATATCACGCACAAAAGCCTGAAGTTTAAGGTAGGAAAAATGGCATCATGGAACAGATAACTAGTCACAGTGACAGCTGATTCCTTCACTAACCAACCACCACTCAAAACAGTTTCTAAATTTTGCAACATAAAGCCTTGAATTTTGAATTTTGTTCAAAGTTTCACCTTAGCAAATCGTGTAAATAAATTTCAGCTTAAATTTGATCATTCTTGACTACTTTAACAGTTTTGGAACTCAGTCTGAGCAAAACCTGGTTCTCATAGAGTTAAAAAAAATTCGAATCTTTCTTAAAAGTCAAATGGCTCCAGGAAACTCAAATACATAAAGTTCCAGTTTGCTTGTTTTTTTGGTAAATGCAACGTAGACACCTTAATCAATTGCTTTTAAGGTAACATCTCAATAATCAATAGTTCTTCGATACTCTGTATCTTTTGTTTTGCTTCTATGGAGAAACATAGTAAACGTCTTAGACCCTTGTTCTTCTCGGTACGGGTTATTATCCGATTAGTCACGGATACGGCTTACGAGTCGGTGGATGAGTTTGCAATTAAATACTTCAATAAAAAGTATAAACAAATTATTATTTTTATTTTAAATGAGAAATTGATTTATATTTTAACTTTATTTAAGTTAGACATTATTTTGCTTAAAAAAAAGTTAGACATTATTTAAATATATTGATTGATTTCATAAATAAATAAAATATAATCTTTGTGATAATTCATATTCAAAATAATTTGAATAAGTTTTTTTAAATTCATTATTTGAAGTTTATTTAAGTTAATTCATTAATTTTCTTAATAGACCTCAATTTTACACAATTTATATATCCATAATATTAATTATAAAATTAACGTTATTATTTACACTATTTTCACTCTAATTTTGTGATTTAAAATTAAAAAAACTTGATACACAGTTTATGTAAATTTTAATTTATATAAATTTATCTAGTTTAGAATCTAAAGATCCTATTTGAGATGTAGAGTATATAAATTTAAAATTTAAGATTTAAGTTTATAATTTAAATTTTAGAATATAGGATTCATGTTGTAGGATTTCCATATTTTAAATTTTGAGTTTTATGATTAAAGTATATAAATTACATAAATTTTACTAATGTATTAAATAATAAAATTAAAATTAAAATAAACAATAATAATTTTTACACAGTCATCAAATAGTTTTTTTTTATAATATTTATAATTTATTCAAAAAAGTAAAACAAACTTGATTGAGTTAGGTAGACAGTAATAAAACAATGTTCCTAGTCATCCTCTTTGTATGCGTAGGTTTCTTATATTTATTTTTATACCATTATCTGCTTTTACTGGAATCAATCGTCAAGCAGAGCCCGATCTCACTTTCACTTACCCGAATTGTTAAACAAAACAGGAAAGAGGAATCAGGGCACAATAAAAGTGCCCGGTTCTTGAAGGGACTGCAATATTTGGCTCATTTTTCTTTTCTTTTCAAAGTTGTTACCTTTACCCAGAATTTCCAAGATAATTCCTTCGTTGCCCTTGATTTTGGCTTCTGGGTGTTGCTTGAACTTCCAAATCAAGTTCTGGGTACGTTGAAAATTTTGAATTTATACTCTTTTATTTCTGGGGTTCTTGATTTTTTGTATGTCACCTAGTAGACTTTGAATTATATAGTAATTACTGATTCTTTTTGGCGTTGGGGTTGTTTCAATTTTAAATTTTGCAGTGTTTACTATTGAATTTACAGCCAGACTTTGCTTAGCCTTTTGTTTGGAACCAGAAGGGTTATTTATTGGTTAGGTTATGAACTCCATTCTTTTGTGGGATCCGATCGTCCAGAAATTTCATAAAAAGTTAACCGGATAGAAAGCTAAGACTTTGTCTATGGCAGGGAGAGTGATTTTATTGAAGTCTGTCTTGTGTTCCCTACCTATCTATTTCATGTCTTTATTCAAAATTCCCTCCTCGGTAGTGACAAAACTAAATTCCATCATAACCAGTTTCTTATGGGGAGGAGGGGCAGAGGTTAAAAAAATTCACTGGATCAATTGGTCTACAGTATGCTCTGCTAAAGAAGTTGGTGGTCTTGACGTTTTGGATCTCAATCATATGAATAGAGCCCTACTAGGTAAATGGTCGTGGAGGTTTGCAAATGATAGGGAATCTGTGTGGAAGAAGGTAATTTGCACTAAGTATAATATGGACATTGGATCTCTGTTTTTCAAGGATAATATTCCTTCTCATTCTTCTTGGATCTGGAAATCAGTAGTTCACAATCATTTCAATGAGGATCAGTTTGGAGCCAGGTTTCGAAATCAGTTCAAAGTTAGAGTGGGGAATGGTGAGAGAATCAGGTTCTGGTTTGATAGTTGGACGCTTGACTTCCCTTTAAAAGATGTTTTCCCGAGACTGTTTGTCCTCTCTTTAAATAGGGATGGGAAACTTAATGAGTATGGACAGTTTCGATCTTCTATTTGGTTGTGGCATGTTCAATTGAGAAGAAATTTAAGCGACTGGGAGCTGAGTCAGTTTACCGATCTATTGGCTATAATTCACAACATAACTCTTTCTTCTGAGTTGTCTGATGGGTTGGTCTGGAGAGGGAACGGAGAAGGAATTTATTCTGTTAAATCCAGTGTGAAGTCTTGCTGTCTTGTTTCGACGTCAGACCCTTTTTGGATGAATAATATTTGGATGGGTTTGGTGCCTCCTAGAGTGGAGGTATTCTTGTGGAAGGTGGTGCACAACAAACTGCCTGTTAAACAAGAACTTCTAAGGAGAGGAGTCTCCTCTATCGGTGATGTTGCTTGCCCCTTATGCAAAAAGGAGGCCGAATCTCTTTCACATTTATTTTTCACTTGTGTAGTGGTTTGGACTCTTTGGAACAAATTTTTGAAATTCTGGGGAGTGTGTTCGGCTTTGCAGGACAATGCTAAAAGTTTTATGGTTGCTTGGAATGATATGGTGTTAGACTCTAAAATCTGACCCTTCATTCCGGGAGTGGTTATATGGACCATTTGGAAGAGTAGAAACGACATTGTGTTCGATGGGGGAAGGGTAGATCAGACTGATCTGTTCTTTTTGGCAAGGTGCAGATTGACGAATTGGTTTTTAGCAAAATTCAACGATGTTTCTATTATGAAGGACTCTCTTATTTCGGATCCTACTCTTGGGGATTATTGTTCCCTTTCAAGGTCCTCGATAATCAAAACTGTGTCTTGGTCCCCCCCTCCAAAGGGTTTTATAAAACTTAATGTGGATGCAACAGTGAGTGGTGATTGGAGGAAAAGTGGTGTGGGTGGCATTCTTAGATTGGAGGATGGCTCGGTGAAGGGTTCTTTCCTAGAGGCGGCTGGTCCAGGTCCTCCGCTGTTGGTGGAGATTTTGGCAAATAAGAAGGGTTTATCTTTCTTTGAATCTTTTCTTCCGAGGGTTCAGGATCGTCTTATTATTGAATCTGATAGCAAACTAGCAGTGGAGTGGGTCAAGAACTATGATCGATGTCCTGTTGTTTATAGAGTTTTAGTGAGAGATATTGGTTTTTTGTTAAGAGATCTAAATGGTATTATTAGATGGGTTCCTAGATCAGCTAATGTTGAGGCTGACAGCTTAGCTAAGGCCGGTATCGGTTAGTTCTCAGTGTGTATGGATTCTTTCAGCATTTGGGTTTATTATTGTAAGGGAGAGTTCTGTTGTTAAACATTATGTAACTCTTGTTTATTAATGGTTATTAAGGCACTCTTTTCCTCCTTCCGCTGATTAAGGAACATTTTTTTGTTCCATTAATCATGAAGGGGGTTTTTAACGAGGCCTATCTTCTTATCAAAAAAAAATGGTTAGGTTATGAAGTATGTTGGAAAGTAAGTTTGGATACAAGAATGTAGGGTTTTTATGTGCTTGATTTTGTTTGTGTCAAGTTGACCCATGTTTATCTACCCTTAATTGTTGTGAGGTTGAAGATAATAGCTAGTTTGAGTTCACAGCTTTTCCATGCTTATTACAGTCACCACTCACCACTTATTTAACAATCGCTATAAAAATGTAGGCAATGAAAAAAGGTTTAATTTTGAATACTATGTCATTTGAAATTCAAAAAAGGTAAAACTTTGAAGCAATTGATGCAATTACATTATCTTTGGAAGGTAAAACTTCCAGATTTTCTATTAAGTGTTCTTTTGCTTTTTGAATGATGACAGAAATTTGATAGTTTCTTTTAATTCAGGGAGAAATACGAACTTTTGATTCTCTATGATCAGTTTGATGCTGAGTAATATGTGTAATACTTTTTTCTCGAATATGTGGTTTTTGATGTTGTCAGGAAACCTAGTTCTTTAAGATGTGGATGCGATTGTCATGCTAATGTTGCTACCAGGTGGTGGATTAGGGATGAATCCTTCCATGGATGATATGAACTTGATTCAAGCACAAAGACATCTGGTCAGGGATATTGGTGAGGAGATTGATTTGGAAATTGGACCTGGAGATGATGACCCTTCATTTGCCAACACTCCTCTCCTTGGTGGCCCATCACAAGAACCCTATGCAGAAGAGCAGGACGAAAGTAAGCAGATGTCAATGGGATCTCAACTCCCAAATGCTGATCAAGATATTTTGAAGGTGCAACCTGCAAAAAGGAAGAAGAAGGTTGTGAAAAGATGGAGAGAGGAATGGGCTGATACATACAAGTGGGCATATGTTGATGTGAAGGAAGGAACGGCAAGGATATTCTGTTCTGTTTGTAAAGAATATGGTAGAAAGCATAGAAGGAATCCTTATGGCAATGAAGGAAGTAGAAACATGCAGATGAGTGCATTGGAAGAGCACAATAATAGTTTGCTTCACAAGGAGGCTCTTCGTCTCCAAATGGCCTCGAAGGATAAGATTGTTGTTGATAAACCCATTTATGTAAAAGGTTAGTCACCTCAATCTGTCAAATTTATTCTCTGGATTAGATTGATGCCAACCATGCTCATCATAAGCCATTACATTTTGCTATTTTTAGCTTCCACTTATACAGAAACCTTAAACTCTTCTAATCTTGTTGTTCAAGCATTAGCTACTATTATTATTATTTTGGTACCGAGTCGAGTTACAAGTTTGGCGGGGAGGGGGGAGATTACAACAATAGGGTTTGAACCATGGTCATTTGGAATGCCAACAAGGGGCCTTAACTGCTCCCTTATGCTGTTGTCTGTTATTATTATTTTATTTGCAAGGTGGTGTTACTATACGTAGTTTAGTATAGTGAACTTGAGTCATTCATTTACTTCGGATTAATATAATACGCCATAGAATGAGCTTGCTCTAGTATGTAATTTGGAAGACTGCTTTCGAGTGCCCTTCATTAGAATACAAATGCTAGAATTTGTTTTAATTTTTAAAATAAAAAGTTTAATGGGAGTTCCCTCTGAAAGTTGGTATTTTCTGTCTAGCTTCTGTTTGTGCACTACTAAAAGTCTTAATGAGTTACAGAAGATGGGTTTCAGTCATTATAGATTAAATTTTTTTTCTGACACAGATGACAAAACAGGGTTTTTGTTTGCACTTTGCATGACAATACATTATATCATTAGGCTGTTGAAGACTACACAATTCTTTAATTCTCTACCCCTTCGGAATATTTAGTAAAAAGAGTAACTGCTGCATAAAGCATAATAGAAATAATGCGTCTTTAACAGTGAAATTTGTCAGCATGAAGTTTGGAGGTTTTAACTACTTTTTTCATGAACTAAATACCTCTGGTATAAAATTTTGTTTTAAATGATATTTCCAAATGATGCTTTTAGTTTCTTTTTACCTCTAACAAAAGGATTAATTATCTAACCTTTAAATTAATTTGTCTATTCCTTTGAAAAAAAATTCCACAATTGAAGCTCTTATGTCCAAAACAGCTGGATCAATTATTGAAGCTGCACTGAAAAGGGACCCCCATGAGGTTGAGTTCATACAATCTGTCCAAGAAGCTGTTCATGCTTTAGATAGAGTGATTGCAAAAAATTCCCAGTGAGTTTTGTCAAAAGAGTTTAAGTTATATATGATTTGCTCTTCATTATTTGAAGTGAAGAGTCAGTCAAATGTATAATGGGTCTCATCTTGCTCCATTTTACTTCAGTTATGTCAGCATCATGGAGCGTTTGTTAGAACCAGAACGAATGATTATTTTTCGAGTTTCATGGATGGATGATAGAGGTGAAACACATGTCAATCGAGGCTTCAGGGTGCACTTTAATCAGGCATTGGGTCCCTGTAGGGGTGGTATTCGGTTTCATCCAAAAATGAACTTAAGTGTTGCCAAATTTCTTGGTTTTCAACAGGTACTTCCTGAGCTTTCAATTTCATGCTAATTTACTCATTCTTAACTAAGTTCCATATAGCGTAGTTTTCAGCTTTATCTTTAAGTTCATCCTAGGTAACTGTTGCTCTTGGAAACTCAAATTTGTTGGTTAGGCCAGCTCCTGAACATATGTCAGCAGAAGATACATAGAAATAGAAATCTGTTTGATTGCTAATAGAAGGAACTACTTATTCAGAATGGTAACAATAATAAAATGGGTATCAATTTTCCATAAATTATTTGGCTTTTATCTCCTAAGAAATGAGGAATTTTCATTTCACATGTTTGCAGACATTGAAGAATGCTTTATCACCTTACAAACTAGGAGGAGCAGCAGGTGGAAGTGATTTTGATCCCAAGGGAAAAAGTGATAACGAGGTGTGTTTCTTTCTTATATTTTATTAGTCTCTTTAATAAGAATCTTCTTAGAAACATTAGCAATTCCTCTTACAGTTGTTTATGAAACCCACGCTGGCAGATCATGCGGTTTTGTCAAAGTTTCATGAATGAGATATATCGTTATTTTGGTACGGACAAGGTAAGTGAGACAGACACTGCTCCTATTTTGAATTTGCTCATTAATGTGCAGGTCTATGTATCTGATTATCCATTTGTATATTATCAGGATCTTCCATCAGAGGAAATGGGAGTTGGTATTCGAGAAATGGGTTACCTCTTTGGACAATACAGACGTCTAACTGGTAATTTTCAGGTATTTTGAACACTCAAACTTCCATTTTAGTCTTCAATATAACCTGGAAATGTTCACTACTTGCTTGTATGTTATAGAGATTGCCGCATAATACCATTGATTGATCTTAACTATTATAACAATGTCACATCTCTGCTCAATAATCAATAGAGATTGCAGCCTAATAATCTACTTGCTTGTATGGTATAGAGTTTGCAGCCTAATGTCATGACTTGGTCTTTATGTCTTCAATTTATTTCTACTTATGCAGGGAAGTTTTACAGGGCCAAGGGTATTTTGGTCAGGTTCTAGTCTTCGAACTGAAGCAACTGCTTATGGGCTGGTAATTAATGTCTTATCCCTGCTCAGTAGTCAATACTATTTAAGCATAGATAGGTTGTTAAACATCTGGGTGAATGCCCATCTTTAAGATGGGTGCTGTTGTTTCCATGTACATCTCTCTTTCTGATAGCTTGGGACTTGATAAAGTTTGCATATTTCTGCAGGTTTTCTTTGCCCGACTCATTCTTGCGGAGTTGAATAAAGATATCAAAGGGCTGAGGTTGATCTTGATGCTTTTTATTAGCCATACTCAAAAACGTTGTTGTCTATCACAGTTCATTCTAGACTTTTCGATAATTTGTGCAAACGGGAAAATGTGGACTTTTCTCTATAGAATAACTCTGTCCATTTTTTTCCTTTTTCATTTCAAGACCTGGTAATGGCTTGATATACCAAAAAGTAGATTTATTGCAAATGAGTCCACTATTGCTAGTTGTTTCACTAAAGTATTGACATATATATTTTCCCCTTGAATCTTTCTTCAGATGTGTTGTAAGTGGTTTTGGAAAGATTGCAATGCACGTTCTGGAAAAGCTTGTTGCTGTTGGTGCTCTCCCCATTACAGTATCAGGTAATTGTCCATTCCACACTGTGTACATCTGGAAAATCGTCCATTATATTCTTTCTGTGCGCTAGTTTATGTGATGATTGTTACATAATTCCTTCGGTTTTATTATCATTCTAGCTTAAAAGATATATGGTCACAGTGCAGATTTCACTTATTTTAATGAAAAATGCCCATGGTGAGGCCAAATGGGCTCCTTCTGTAAAAACATTAATTTCTTTTCCTTTTTTCTCTTTTCCTCTTACCCTTTTTTTCTGGACAGTTGCAGTTGCACCATGTATTAATGCATTGACCATTGAACTAAGCATATTAATTTGTCTATTTCTTGTTTGCAAGTGTTTTAGTTGTGTTAACCTGGTGTTCCTCACTGCTCTTTTTTCAAAGTGGTCAAAGGACCTTATCCTTTTTGTTTTCCTTCAGAAAAGTGCCTTAGTAATTGTATTAAAGTTCATTTTTCTTATTGCCAAGAAGTTCATTTTACGTTCCTTGACATGTAGCTCTACACTTGCTTTCTTTAAACTCTTTTAAATTAATTTCGGAAAATGGTCCTGGCAGTAAACATACATATTTTTGCCTTTTCACTGTGAAATGAAACTTGAGAGATGCTATTATTTGGATATTACATGACGTATAATAGTCTCTGTGCAAGCAAATAAAGTTGATCACGCTTTTAGCTTAGTAAAGATCATTAGATCAGTGAATAAAGGCAGGTTGAAACAGCTGTCCATATCTTAACACATGCCTGTGCCTGAAATGTGGCACAGATTCAAAGGGATATTTGGTTGATGAGGATGGGTTTGATTATATGAAAATATCATTTTTGAGGGATCTCAAAGCTCAACAAAGAAGTTTGAGGTATGTTTTATTCACTTTCATTTCCATTCATAAAATGTAAATTTCATTTCTTTTGGTGATTCTTGAGATGAGAGGTGCTATTTTAAATTTTGAGCATGCAGAGATTATTCAAAGACTTATGCTCGGTCGAAGTACTATGATGAAGCAAAGCCTTGGAATGAAAGGTGTGATATCACAATTCCCTGTGGTTCTCAAAATGAAATTGACCAGGCTGATGCCATTAATTTGGTTAATTCAGGTTGTCGTATACTTGTAGAAGGTAGTAGTCTGTAATATGATTGCAAAACATTTTTACATCTTTCTACTGGAGGAATTATAATACTAATTATATTACCTAATAGCTGTGTGTTATTGTGGTCTTCGTAGGCTCCAATATGCCTTGCACTCCTGAAGCAGTTGATGTATTGAAGAAGGCTAATGTCATCATTGCTCCTGGCATGGCTGCCGCTGCTGGAGGGGTGCGACCTTTACTTTCTCCATTATCTTGATGAAATCGATCTTTATTATCATAGTTTAATTATGATGCATTCCTTTCATCTGCTTTTGCTCAAATTAGAATAGACTTGACTTTCTTTCTAAAGAAAAAAGAATCTTCATGAAATAATTTCTTAATTCTATATGATATCAGAAGAATATGCAATTCTAGAGTTTTGGGGTCAAAACCTCAAGTCTTGTGAAGTTAATATATGCATTTTAGAAGCATAACGGGCACTTTTCGGACTGTTCATATTCATATCAATGTATTGGAATATGATGCTTTGAAAGGAGAAGAGAGCCACCAATTCTCGGATAGCAAAAAGGAAATTGATCATAAATTACGGGGTTTTAAGTTTGAAAATCATCTTTTGATTGATTAATGTTATCTACAGTGTTACTTTTATTCTCTGATTCAATGACACTTAATCACAGGTTGTTGCAGGAGAAATAGAATTAAATCATGAATGTAATGTAATGCATTGGTCTCCGGAAGACTTCGAATCTAAATTACAGGTAAGATTTAGTTTTGTCTTTGTTGAAGGGTGTGTAATTGGACTTATTCTTGAGCAACATTTCCCTTTATTTGCTTCGGCACAAGCCATTCATTTAAGGTGAAGTTAGCGTGTAATAGAGTCGTTCAAACTTAGAAATAGTCAATTCTTGGCAACTGTATGTGTATAACTTATAATACCTTTTTTCCTGATTGGAAGTATTGAAAATTGCAAACATAATGTAAGTATGATACTAGCGAATTTGAGTTCGCTTCTTATGGTTTTACAAGCGTAACTTTTAAGATTTCTTCCGTTTTAAACTTGACTAAGTAGTTTTGTATCTAGTTATGACCAAATTTGGTGAAGATTTGTTTTCGCTGCGTATTTATTAACTTGCAGGAAGCAATGAAACAGACATTCAATAGAGCACTCAAAGCAGCAAATGATTTCGGTTATCAAAAAGAAAGTCCCGAGTAAGGTTTTTTTCGGTGTTAGCACTAGCACTACCTTCGTAGTTGAAGCCTTTTGCTCATTATTTTTTTCTTTTTCCTTTGGTGCATGGTACATGAATCGAACACTAATTTTTACATGCTGCTGATCTGGTATTACCAGATTATTTCACCAAAATGTTGTCCGACTGTTTTTATTAATGTCGAGTTCAGTTCTACAGTACATATACAGTTTTGCACTGGACCAGAAAAATTCTATTGCCAATCTATGTAGTGTGGCTATTTGGTGATCATCTTTATACTTTCCTAAAGATCTTGGCAGGCTTTGGAAGGTATATACGTTGCTTGAGAACCTAAGATCTGGTAACGTATGTTATTTCAGACTTGGGTGCAAGTGTTGGATGCCATTTTGGTATGTCCAGCATCGTACCGACATGGTAACAATTCATTTTTTTTTCTCTACTCATGGCCTTAATATCATCCAAGGGTACCGACATAGGTAGTTACTGATATCATGTTATTCTGAATTCTAAGTGATCTATTGTTCACATTCTCTATCCTCGTTTTCGTTTAACAGGGCTTTGCTACACGGAGCAGTCATCTCCGCCTTTCTGGCCATCGCTCAAGCCATGACTGATCAAGGATGTGTATAGAAAAATAAAGTTATTTATTGTGGATCAGTTCCAATGACCACCATTTCGAGACTTTCACTCCATAGCAAGAAAACTGGAGAGCTATTAACGTATTCGTATCGTCGTCGGAATCATTACCGGATAAAAAAAGAAAAAGGCACGACTGATCTCAATGTAACATACATGTAATGTTGTAGTAGTGCCTAGTGCAAGACATGGAAATGGATGAGTTGTTATTTTATAACTTCATTGGAATAGGAATTTGGACGAGCAATGTGTGATGATAGTTGTAAGGTTGGAATAGAAAACATTTTAATTTTTTGGCCTGCCTGTCAGCCTGTAATAGTTTCGCTATAAAAAAATTGTAAGTTCTAGTGCTACGTGTCTTTCTCACATACTTTGACAACAACATTAATTGGAAATAAAACATTCTTTTATTATTATTATTATTATTAGAGCTAATGACGCGAATATCTTCTATATTTTGTCACTTTGATGAGCTTGATATGGTAAAAAGTTTTTAAATTAATTTTTTGGATAATTATAAATTTACTTACTAAATTTTATTTTTTTTATTTCACTTATTGTATTTTTAATTTTTTTTTTCAATTTTATACATTGTATTTTTTGGGTCATTTGGCCGTTAATTTTTCAACGGTGTTATAATATGACAATTAATACCAAAACGACGTAGTTTTGAATCTTATAAAAAATAAATTTAGACCAAAACTACTAAATTTGAGTTTAAATAAAAAATATTTTATTTTTTCTTTAATTTTCCTCTCTTTCCTTGCTTCTTATTCTTCCTTCCCTTCTCTTTCCATTTCTCTCCTCAACTTTAATGAACCCAGATTTCAATCACCATGCCGACCACTGCCGGTCATTTTCGTCTGAGAATAGTGACCAGAACTTGTTCTTGCAAAATTGTGAATGTTATGAGTTGTATTGACTGTTTCAAAACTGATTCTTGCTGAGTACAATGTGTAGCTCTCTGCTTTCTAGTATGTTTTGGCCCTTTTGCTATGATATTGATCTTCATTTCCTTGGTAGGAGTTCACCCAGCTACAGTGAGTTGAAAAACTGTTGAGATGAGTATTATCCAGTCCGTGGAGTGCTATATTTGTCGTCAAACGAGTAGTTTTCTTGAACTGTAGCGCCGTCTTCCCTAAATTTACATTTTTTATTTTTTATTTTTCCTTTTATCATTTTCTGCTGTCATTTTAACCCTACTAATAGGCCATTAGAGGTTTGCTGTGGTCTATAGTTTATGGCCATAGAGTAGAAATATTTGTCTTCCAAAAAGCGGGATGCATCACCTTCTTTCCTCAAGTTGCATTACTTTTTTGTTATATTCTGAGTGTATGCTCATTTTTTCTGGTTTTTAACCCTACTTATGGGTTATTAGAGGTTGGTTGATGGTCGTTATTTGTTTTTACCTTTTGCTTCGTTTGTTTAAGCTTCATGGATTCTTTTATTGCTGAACTACAAAACTAAGTAGGATGGAATATCTTTGATGTTCCAGTCTCGTGAGCCCCTGGTGGGTGTATACAACGCTCAGCTGGTTTCAGCATTGGACAATCTCAATTGAATTTAGCTGAAATGGTGGTCGGAGGTGTTTAGAACGATGACCGACATGATAACCGAAATCTAGGTTCATTTGATGTTCAAGGTGGTCCAGCTAGTTAAGGAAAAGCTTAAGTGCGTGGAGAAAATATTCCATATATAAAGTTGGAGCATAGATAAGTAATGGTCTCCATGCAATGGAGACTAGCGATGGAGACATACAATAGAGAAGAACATGATCTCCATGACACGGAAGTTGAAAAACTATGGTTGAAGAAAATAATAAAATAAGGCATGTTATCAGAGTGTAATTGAAAAAACAGCGGAGTGATAAAAAAAATTGAATGTATAAAGTTAAATTAGTAAATTGAATTTTTTTAATGTACAATGATCAAAATAGGAGTAAGAAAAATGTTCAGTTGTTAATTATGTAATTTACCTTTTTTGAAAAAAAAATGTTTAAAATAATAATTTGAAAGGTTTATGTTTAAAATAGATAGTTATGTTGTACAATAGTCTAATTTAACGTTAATCAATTACGTAATCAGAAATGTTAAACTTTTTTTTTAAATATGTTCGGTTAAACGTAACCTAAAATGTTAATCTTTTACCATTTTTGCAACCTAAAATGTTAATTTTTTAACATTTCTGGCTGCAACCGAAAATGTCACATTCTTCATAATATTTTCGGTTTTAACCGGAAATGTTAAAAATGTTACATTCTGCATGCATTTAGCTTTTGTAGTGGTGAGAGCTGCATTTAGAAGTAGTGTGCCCATGAAAGTACATACTGAGAAAGACACACACATACATGAGTGTGTTGGCAATTCAGAACATTTGGAGCAACTGTTTACTAACTGGCCTACTTATTCAAAATTTTTGTTCACCAATCAAATTAGCTGGACTCAAGCTTGATTGGCCCTTTAGGGCTTCTAAATGGCCATAAGTAATGAACTGCAGGCCATTGCTAGTAGTTTGGTGGCTTGAGGACAAATTTCCTAGCTTGAGATGAAATCAATGCTAAAAGAAACAACTATGCAGGAGTAGCTAAACCAGAAGCCGATTATGTCTAAATCAGTGTCGTCAAGGGTATTGTTCACTATATCATTAGAACCTGAATAAGCCTGAGATGAATTTTCTAACTGTAAAAATTGAGTTAGCATGTGATTTGATTGGAAGTTAAACACGTTGATGTTTATGCTATCACACAATAAAGAGCTGAACTGAAAACTGCATGTTAATAAGGGCATAATTTTGACTGACAACATGAATTGTTCTGCTAGAAGTCCCTTTTGAATAGCAATTTACCTGTATACTCAAGTTTGATTAAAGACAAGAGATTCCCTTTGTTTAAGGATTTCTTTTCCTTCTTTTTCATGCACCTTTTCTACCAGAATTTGTTTCTGGTACAACTGATTCAGTTTGAAATAAGGTTAGTTTACATCGCCGGATCTGCTTCTTCCACTGTTTTCTTTGTCTGTTATTCCTTTTCTAACGTGAAGACGATGATTTAAGTGCAAGGTCTGATTTGTACATTTTGTTGAACAAAGTACTCCTTGTCGATTGTTTCATTTATAGATTTTTCATGCAAATACCTCCAGTTTGTGACCACTCAGTGTGTGCAGTCTCTCCCTGTACCTGATTCCTTTATCATTTACTCTGTCTTGTATTTTGCTGCTATACAATTTACCTTTTCCTCTATGGAGAGTTGGAGACTGATATATCAATTTTGATTCTGGAAGATTTTACTCCAATATTTGTATCATGTTCATCTGAGACGCCCGAAGTCGGTGATATAGGAAGACAAGCTGAAGTTGAGGGGCATGAATCTGTTTATACCAGATCAGTGGATGTTCAAACAACTAGTATTAGCCGGAGGATAGAGAAAGATGCTGCAGAGTGGCAGTTAAAAGGAAAGAGGAAGTCGAGACAAATAAGTGGGAAAAAAAACGACCCTAAAAAATATGCTGACACGGTTGATGAACCAAATGCTTGTGTGGCAGGTATAAATCACTTGGATGGATTTTCCCAGGGCTTTGATCAGAAAGTTGACTGCAACACTGTTGAAGATCAGCTTGATGGGTTCGGGGACTGGAAGTCTCGGCAGCCTTGTGTGAGATGGTTCCATTAACCCTCAAAGGTCGCTTCTGTACGGTCAGTCCCGCTATACTGTAAACCCCAGATATCAGATGACAGATTTCCCTGGAAAAACTTATTCTGCCTATTCATCATTATATGATATTAAGATTGATGTTAAAGCTGACTATCAGCCACATCATGTTCCATTAGTTTCCCTTGTGAGTAAACTGGATGGTAAAGCCGTAGTAGATCACCCTAACAGTTGAGGCTTTGAACAATGTTTACTATGACAACCCGAGTTAAGAAGTTGCCATGGAGTGCACTAAACTTGACCACGGATCGAAGCAAACTTCAGAAGGTGGACGAGTTCCTAGAAAGCATATAAAATTGCAATTGCAGTTCCCACATTGTAAATCAAAAAAAAGCAAAGAGATCTAGACTATTGTCTAAGAAGATTCGAAGGTTGTCTTCATTGACTGGTCAGAAGCTAGGTGTGGCCGTCAAGAAACCAGTAGTCGAGAAGCCCAAAGGTCCTGTAATAGCTTGTATCACTCTGAAGTTAGTATTCAGCAGGATAAAAGAAGCATTGAATGGCTTCGCACGGCAATCGCAGCGATCTTTAACATCAGGCAATTCATGAGTAAGCGATCTAAAACAACATCGAAAATTCAACTAAGAATTCGGCAGCTGGTAGTTAGCCTTTTTATCTTAAAACCAACAGAACAAACGACATTGGGTGGTTGTAGAGGGAAACTGTTAAAAGGACTATGAAGGATGATGAAGAACACATTTAATTCTAATAGGATGAAGCCTTTGTCCTTTAAATAAGGTCTAATATTTATATCAAGAAGTTATAAATTGAATTAATATCGTCTCTATAATAAAATTTTACAATATATAAGTAAATTAATCGATTAATAGATGAAATATTAATAATCATATAAGAAAAATACATGACAACTAATCAAAATCACTAGTGAAAGAAATTACTCAATTATCGAATGACGATAATAAAGAAATTGTTTTTCATTTTAAATTTTTTAAGGCATAATGTTAAAATTAATCCTAATATTTGTCTAAATGAATATTTTGGTCTTGGTTTTTAGCACTTTAGCCCCTAAGTTATTATTTTTGGTCAAAATGACCCTTACCGGATGTAAACCGTTAATTGACTAACAATTAATGTATGTTGTTGACGTGATATTTTCACATGTATTGAATTATCGGTGTAACACATGTCACGTCATTCAAAATGATGATATGTCATGTGTTAAGTCATCAATATAAATACATGTGAAATTGTTACATCAATAACATACTTTGATCGTTGTTTAATTATTAGTTTACATCTAACATGGGTCATTTTAATCGAAGATTAAAACAATGAGCGCTAAAATGCTCTAAAAGAAATCAGAACTAAAGTAATCATTAAGATACGTTAGGGGTAGAGATTAATTCTGGCATTATACCATTTTTTAAATCTAATAAGTTTTCCAAAAGCAATTGGGCCGTAAAACATGATCCAGAAAAGCCCAAAATCCAACCTTTAACCTTAGAAAGGAATCCTAAAAACCCTAAAAAGGATTCCATAAATTTGATATATTTATTTCATTCTTGCCGCAACTTTTGTGTTCCTAATATAAACCCTAGAAGCCAACAGGTTATTTTTCTATTATTTTCGCAGTTTTAATAGTTCATTCTTTATTTTGTTTGATTTGTTTTTGAGTATTTCAAATCTTACAAAGGAGGTTCATTTTGTGGTGAATCTGGTGCAGTGAGGTGCAGAGAAAATGGTGACAGCTCCAGGACAGTTGATCTGGGAGGTAGTGAAGAAGAGCAATTGCTTTTTGGTGAAGCAGTTCGGAAGAGGAAATGCTGGAGTTCGGTTCAGCAAAGAGCTTAACAATCTCTACAATCTCAACTCCTACAAACACTCTGGTATTCTTTTGATCCCAAAGTTTTCTCTTTTTCCTTATTCATGGACGATTCAATGATATTGATCTTAGGCTTGTTGCAAAAGAAATGATATTATTGAGTAAAAGTGAAATAGAAAATATGTTATATGCATATGCAATTGTTTTGTATGTATATTGTAATTGATGTGGAACTTGTACAAGTTATCAAGTGATCTAAAAGAAGTTTGTGGTTGTCTAGATGATGGTTTCAAGGGGAAACATGAATTTATCACTTGTATTAGTTGTGATGTTGTATTTGTATTTTATTTATTGTTTAATCTCTTAACTTTTCCCGATTCTGAACATTAGAATATGTCCTCTGGTTTTTAATTTTCTTGTTTTTGTTGGATCCGTGTAATTTTAGGGTTGGCAAACAAGAAAACAGTCACCATTCAGCCAGGGGACAAAGATCAGTCTGTTCTGCTGGCAACCACCAAAACTAAGAAACAGAACAAGCCGTCGGCCTTGCTTCATAAATCTGTCATGAAAAAGGAGTTCCCCAGGATGGTGAAGGCAGTAAAAAACCAGGTATATTGGGAGAGCCTTTTGAAAGATATCCATTTATTCTTTTTCTAGGTTTGCCTATTGATATTTTGCTATTTTTCATTATTGTCCTGAAGAGAAAAAAGTCTTATTTTTCTTTCTTAATAATGTTGATGATGCTGAGAGAAGTCTTTTTCTGCTTATCTAATATTAGTTCTTAAACAACTGGCAGAAGTTGTTGGATTACTTGCTTGAATGATGATTTGTCTGGATCTGTGGTTTGCAGTTTGTTTGCATTTTCGAATTTAATTTTCGATGAAGCAATAACATGTAAAAAGGATCCATTTGTTGGATTCTTCTGTGAAAATTACCTGTGCTTGTCTTATGTCCCTTTTTTAATTTGTCTAGAAGTGTAGTTTGCTTACATAACCAAATTTAATTTTTCTTGGAAGATTTGTCTTGCCTTGATGAAGCAATAACATGTAAGAAGGATCCATTTGTTGGACTCTTCTGTGAAATGTGCTTGTTACGCTTGGCTTCTGAGCATCCAAAATTTAAACAATTCATTTTTGATGAAAAGCATTTTAGAATACCATTCCAAATCTGCACTATGTGTGTGTGCATGTGGAATTTCACCCCCTCTAAAGTTCATGTAGCTTGGTTACATGCTTGCCCTTGTATTATGTCCCTTTTGAATGTCTAGAGGTGTGGTTTTTGTGTATATCCAAATTTAATTGTTCTTGGAAGATTGTCTTGCAGTGATGAAGCAATAACATGTAAGAGGGATCTATTTGTTGGATTCTTCTGTGAAATGTAGTTGTTGCGCTTGGCTTCTGAGCTTCTGAAGTTTAAACAGTGCATATTTGCTGAAAAGAATTTTATAATATAATTGAAAATCTCTCTGTGTGCGTGCATGCATGCATATGTGCTCAATTTCCCCTCCAAGGTTTATGTACCTAGCTTATGTCATGTTTGTTTTTGTATTATGTCCCTATCATACAAAAGAGGAAAGGACTTAACACAAGGGCAAGCATAACTTAAGCTAGTTACGATAACTTCAGGGGGGAAATTGAGCATATATATATATTCAATGATATTCTTAAATTCTTTTCATGAAATTCTGTTGTAGATTTTTTATGATATTTTGAGACACACGGTTTCTTTGTTTTCAGTAATGCTCTTCCTATTTAGTCTTAAGTTGTCTGACCATAGCACATTCCAATTGCCTCCTAATGCTCTATGCTTTTACTAATTGCAGGTGACAGACAACTACTACAGGCCTGATTTAACCAAAGCAGCCCTAGCGCGACTGAGTGCTGTGCACAGGAGCCTGACAGTTGCCAAGTCTGGTGTCAAGAGGAGGAACAGGCAAGCGTTGAATATCCGTAGCAGGAAGTAAGCTAGGCAAGTTTAAGTTGTGTTGTGCCATGGTTTTCATTCTAGACATTTCTTTATTACACCGAATTTTGAAGTTGCCTTATTGTCAGTCTTTGTAGCTGGGGTGGTGGATTTTTTATCTAGATTGTGAAGCAGATATTCATGGTCATTGCTGGTTTCTTTTCCAAGTTATATAATATTGTAGCATTTTGAGCATTTTCCTGTCATTATCTTGTTGGCATTGTGATCTTTAAACGTATTCATGAATGTTTATATCTTTATTGTACAAAATTATTTTGGGTAAAAGTTATCTCACTCTTGACTGAAAATGATCTCCTTGAACTTGTATTATTATAATTAAATTATGATTGGTAGAAAGAGAAATATTATAGAAGATAAAAGCCTTATATCATAACCAAGATTGGAAGTTTTACTTATTTATGTGTTTTGTATACAAACTTCAAAACAAGTTTTATTATTATTATTTGGTAAAAAAAGAAACTTGTGATCTTAATAATAGTATTCCAAGTTAAAAAGATAAACAAGGTTAGGGTGGCGAACACGGTTTTATTATGGCATTAACCAAACTTTCATAGGAACCTATATCTGTCGGAATGTTGAAAAGTTCCAAGTCAAAGTATTCCTTTTGCCGCACGTTCCCTAGTACTTACTTTGCTTATCCAAGTTTAATACGCCAACCCTTATAAATGTTTCATCAATGGCTGCAAACCAGTCATTTCAACTCCAGATATTCTTCTTTGGTCCTCAAAGCACACATGTAAACCATGTCTGTCAACAAAACTCTGGCTTTTGACAATGGCGACGAAGCCATCAAGAGCAACGTTACTGATACAAACAGAAAGTGGAGACGGTTTAACCAGTGTTTCTCCTTCAAGGAAGTTCAGGTTGAATTGGTGTCGTCATTAAAAGACCTCGATTCGACCAAGTTCAAGGTTGAGATCAAGAGATGGGCTAAGGCTGTTGTGGCATATGCTCGTCAAGTTAGTGGGAAGATTCGGGAGTACCAAGAGAAGTGACCGACGACATGAGAGCTCCTGAAGCTCTCATCACATGCGGTAGCTATGGCTAGTTTAAGGCTGAAGAACTGTACATCTGAGATTATGAGAATATGTTGATGATATCCAACTAAAAATAAAAAAAAATGGGTTCAAATCTTTGGGTGATATAAAGTTCAAACCAATCCTGTTTGCCTTGTAAACAGTTTTTCTTCTTATCGATGCATTGTTTTGGATTCTTATGTATATAGTTTTATTTGGATTTTTGAGATTCTCTGAAATATTATGTTTCTTTTGTTGAAATACATTGAGAATTTTATTCTGCCAAAAAAATTAATAAAAAAAGCACTTGTTTTGAGATTCAACTGATTTGAAGATAAACAACTGTTGCAGGAATCCCTAAAAAAAACTATTACTTGAATTTACATGAGGAAAAAACGAAGCAAAAAGCAAGAAAAAAAAGATTAAAAGCAAAACCTATACATCTTTGTAAGTCAGCTTAGGTTCAATGATTGAACCTTCCGTTGCCTTTGTCGATTTTTGTTTCGACAGGCGATGAGTTCGATGGAACTCTAGGAGACCACCAACCAGTAGTTTCTGCATTAATCTGATTTGTTTGTTCTATCAGATTTCTTTTTCGGAACATATCCACCAAATGCCTTGTCTCCCCCAGAAATGCTCCTCAAAAGCTGTTTAGAACACATGTCTTGCGCTTGTGTTGCATTCTTCATCCGCTTCTCTCTCACCCATGCAGGTTCCTGACATGAAAAAGAGGTCAGTGCTTTGCATACTCCTACTTCTTCGAACTAATACGTGCTTGACTAGGAGGAGATACCTCGGGAACAAAGCGGGAGAATCCGAATTTAATCAATAGAAGAACATGTTCCATTACGAGAATGGCTGCAAGGCCAGGCTCGATTTTCCATTTTCCTTCCTGATCGTATAACCATACTAAGAGTGCAGAATTGGTGCATATCGACATCAATATTAGGAACTGAAATTTGAAGTTAAAAGATATCAGTAAATCCCATATGCTAGTGTTGAAAGCAGGTGTATTGGCACCATAGTTTCTTAAGGTAAAAAGAAAATACCTGAAAAATGTTCAGCCAAGCCCCAATTGTAGCAGCAGCTCGTGGAACAGGCCGTCTCAAAATCACAAGCAGCTTCAGGGCATCCGTTCTCATTTCGGCAATGTTGTTCTATATATCAAACTATCGAGTTTAGTTTAGATTATTAAAACTGAAATCAACATCAAACCATAAAACACAAGTCGTGAAAGCACTGTTAAAAGCGTTGTATACCAAGGCAGAGAATGCAATGCAAGGGGAAACGCACAGGCAAACATCATGATCATTCCGAACTGTAGTGTCAACTCCAAAAAATCTGCACGTGGTTTAAACTTTCACTAAGAAGAAGAAAAATCTACATCCCGTATGTTTTTCTCAGGTGGTGCTTTATAGTCAAAGTAATACATCCAATTGCTTTCCGAAAGTGCAATTAGTTTAAAACATATTTGGCACATTACCATCAAATAGCCCATCTTCCAGTTCTTCACAAATGCTTGCGGAGTATGTGGGTTTCATGTACTCTTTCTCTACTCTGGTAGCAAATTGTATCTTTCCAGTTGAACCTTTCTCGCGTTTTTTCTTGTTTCTTGATAATAAAGATGCATTAGAGTGAAATGTCAACTTATGTGGTACACTGAGATGCATTAGAGTGAAATGTCAACTTATGCATTAGAATCGGAACATCTTACCTAACAGCTCTAAACTTTTTATAGTTGTACTTCAGATACGGCAAAGAATTTTCCAAAACATTTTCCAACACCTAATGACATTTTGCAGTTCAAAACCATTTGAGTCCAAGATGTTGCAAGGTATTAGTACAAAGCAACGAAAAACAATAGTCGTCTTTACCTCGTAAAGAATGAGACGCTGGATCAATACTTGGCGAAGGGTCATTAAGTTGCGATGTAAAAGAGCATGATAAAAAACCCCAATATATGATTGCATAAAATAAAGACCAAACACCTGAAACATAACTATTATCCGTCAAAAAAAAACTTCTCGACATGGAAAAAGGGAAAACTAAATTGACGTATTACTTCCTAATCGTACTTTGTAGACCAAGCTGTCAGCTTGATATTCAGTGCTTTCATTGTTTTCATGCTTGATGAGTCGGATTGATAGCTTCCCCCCGATCTTTGTGAAGTACTGAATAGCCAGAAGATAAACTGCAGTTAAACCGAACCTGACACCAAAACACATAAAGTTAGAAACCGTGTGATTTAAATACTATAGAAGGAAAAGAACTCCCAAAACAGCAATTACAGTTAAAAGAAAGGAAAGACTTAGGATCTTACTTCACGATATCAGACTCGATGACCTCATAGAGATGAGCATAAGCCAACTCAAAAGGCAATTGAAGGCAAATGATACTCAAAATAACGATAACATCATTCCTGAATCGTCTGAGATAACCAAACCATTCGTATCTTTGCAAATCTTCTTTCTCTTTTGTTTTATCTATTCCCGAATCTTTTACAAGTTCCATGGGAGGCTGTAGGCAGTTCCACTCCCTCCCTGATAATTTATATCCATGGCTTGCTCCGACAGAAAAATTAAGATGCCACCTAAACGACCCCGGCAGAGAGAGAGAGAGAACTAAATAAGAAAAGCTGAAGAAACAAAATTGTTATTTAGAAAGGTGGTTTTCTATTAATATGATATCATTTTACCTGGCTGAAAGTGCAGAGTTTTTACGTTTCCAGAACTGGAAAAACAATACTGCCCACAATACTATGCTTATGAAGAAAGCAGGGAATACTAGTAATTTTAAAGATCTGGATAAATCAATACACCCAAGAAACTAAATTAAAACCAAGGATGAAGCAGTTCAACTAACGAGAAGAAGGAAAGGCGACGCTTACCCGAAATCAATAAAATGCAAGATAAGACCAAATGCAGCTGGAAAAATCATCCAACGTGTATACATTCCAAGAAAGGCAAAATAAACTGCAATCTACCATGCAAAAATTCCTTGATTAAGCAATAGACTAACTACAGCAAAAAACAATATGCAAGATGCTGCTAGCATGAATCTATAATTACCTTAGTCCCGTAATAAACATATATCTCATCAATTGGTTGAGCTGTCAAGTCCCACCAATTTAATGCCCAACTCCGAAGTAGTTTCTTCCTCTTTGTTTCATCTACAGGCAACATTTATTGTACTTCAGCACTTATAGGCCATCAGAACCGTAGGAAATTTGCTAGTAAACGTAACAATGAATACCATGTAAAGGGAAAACTTGTTTAACAATTCCTTCAAGTTCCAACCTCTGCAGTAATGATTCCCCAGGTTCCCATTGGATCTCTTTTCCATCAAATTTTAAAGTTATGTCTGAGTTCTTCTTATTAACCTGTAAATATTCCATCTGGTTACTGGTATTCGGAGAGTAATAGCAGATTCGAAGACTTCTTTACATACACTACGGCACAAAACATCCTTCCAGAAGGGAACAATTTTCACTATATAGAGAATATCAAAACAGTAGATATCCGAATTGATCCCATCATATGCACTGGCCGCTTAAAACAACTAAAATACAGAAGACAACCTACAACCATTGCTCATTTCAAACATGAGCTGATAGTTGAGTAAAATAGCATAAAATTCAATAGAGATTGCATCTCATTGAGGAACATGCATTTGTATTTGAATTTGACTGCAACGAAAAGGAGAAGCACTGTAAAATAAAGTTCAACATAAACAAAGAGGTGCCGATAGATAAAGAAGCCATACAAAGTTAATTTTTACTGCCTCCCAATGAAGACCTGTAAATGTAGACTAAATGTCTCATAAAGAAGTAATGTTAATCAAGAAATGGAAAAGTAAGATGGGAGTACATTAAATAACTCACAGTTTCATGTATCAAGTGACGGTAGCACTGGAAACGTTCACACCAACTGAACAACGAGCCATCAGGTTGCCGCATGAAAGCTTCAATCTCTTCCCACTCAAATGGTAAATCAACTCCTGAAGTGCAGAGCTTCATTAGCTATTTTCAGCAAACAAAGTGTATAATCGGATTGAAGGAAGTAAAAGAAACCGTTGAACCATCAATATCTAAGCCAGAGAATTATTACCAATATGAGTGGTCTTCTTCATATGCAGCCTGGCTGCTACTATTCCCAAAGTCTCTAATGGTGCTGCCAGCTGAAAGAAAGCAACTTAACTCAAGATTACTTTATATACCATTCCCAGTCACTAAAGATTCAAGAATGAATTTCGACAACAAACTAAATTGAGCAATAAAGCATAATAGGCAATAAATTCAACTTTAAAAATAACATTATACATTGTAAAAAAAACATGTTTAATCCAGCTCTACCAAGCAAATTTGTAATGATCTTTTTATACTTCTCAGGGGAAAATGAGGGTTGGAGGGGTGGTCCTCAATTAAATGCATCCCATTTTTCTAGCAAGGAACCTTAAGTAATTAAGACCATGGAGTTTCCTTTCATTGAAGGAAACCATTAACATTAACTAGGATACAATAAACTTTCCCATAAAAACCAGGATTGCATAAAAGGAAATTTTTGTTGATAAAAATGTAAATTACGACATATTTGCATGTTCAACACAGATGCTAAAACACTTGGCAGGAGCCAAAGGCAAACTTTGTACATCTTCTATGATCATTGTAGATTAACCTCATTTTTTTGATTAATTGTAGATTAACCTCAACAACCAGCAGATGGAGACAAACTATTAATGAAGATATTTTCAAGAAAACACAATACGGAAAAGGACAAATGATTCCATGGGACAAAGTAGAAAATGTTCAAACTTGAAAGAAAAAGGAAAGAAAGAAAGAAATCAAACCTTGATAAATTCATCATGGAGGCCAAGAACTCTTTCAACGATAAAACCCACATTTCCGAACTCATTGACAAGAACCTCAACACAATCATAACCCTCGTTTTCTAATTTGAGGTTCCTTCTGGGAACCACCACAGCAATCTCGTAAACAATAGGGTCTTCTTCTTCAATCCCATTCATTTTCCAGGGCCCAAATTCAAAAAGAAAGAGAAGCACCACCTGAATCTAGACCCTGTAGCTCAAAAGAACCAATGAGGTTTAAAAAAGCAACCTATTTAGGATCCCTTCCTGCCATCGACCTGCATTCGAAAGTAACGAAAGGTGAAATCTTTACTTTCGTTGTAATGACTAAAAAAAATGGGGTCTAAGTGTCAACTCAAAAGGGCAAATCGGTCTCTCTAATCAAAGAGAAAAAGGTGTCTACTTCGAGGCAAACCAACCTAAAGGTTTATTTCCTTTGGGATCAACGAAAAGGTTAATGCTTTCAAAGGACAATAATTTTCTCCCAATACTGAGATAAGGCCTAAATTGGTTACTATTTTCTACCTTTTTACCCTAATTAATAAAGCAACAGATGAGAGTGTGGGGGGGGGGGGGGTGAAGTGGGTGGCTGTCTCTTTAGCTCTAAATACCCTATTCAAGAAGCAATTTTTTCTTTCTTTTGTTAAAAAAACTAGGCACATATACATAGAAGAAAACTACATGTATACATATTGGTACATAGCATAGGATAAATCTATGTAGTCGGCTATTGGGGAAAAAGATTCAAGCTGAAGACAGAGAGAGACAGATAGGATGCTTTAACAAGAAACCGCCACGTCATACGTGACTTGTCACTTTAGCTTTTGTTTGTTTGTATTTTGGGTGAGTCCGGTTTGGAAGTACGTAATCCTCTAAAGGCACGACCATATAATGAATCTAACGATGAACTAAGCAATGCCAACCATGAAAGGCACGGCCCTTTATGCTTGTTTATGTTCTTGGTTTCTGTATCTGTAAAAACCAGAGAAAAATATCCTTATCGCCACTTGGCTGATTTTCCAGTCTATTATTTTGTGCTGTCCGGTTGCTGCAATTAGCTGCATACGGTGTTGAAGATTGGGTTCACGAAAGTGATTTTTGAGATTCATACATCATCATTCTCTTGTCACCTTAGTTTTTGGATATTGACGGCAGCAATGATGCGTGTTCTTTTAACCGAGTTGCAGAGCATTCATATCTGGTAAATAGATATTGCTTTCGGAAAAGACAATACCTCACAGCAGATATATAGGACAAATTTGTGAAAAAATTGTAGAGCTCAGAAATAAATAATATACCTTGGAACAACCCCACTTAGCAGAGCCTTAAGAAATTACAAGTACAAAAGGAGTGTATTTGCAATTCCAAGTTGTAGGAAATAGACAGCAGGAACTTTCCAGGAAGTAGGGGATCGGTTTGGTTTGCTTCGTTTCGTTTGAGAATGAACTCAAGTTGGTAATAGAGCATATGAATGAACTACAAGTTTCACCAGGAAACACATCCCTTTCCAAAACCTCCAACATTGAATTCAACCTACTGATAATGAGTTCAAATTTATCATGAGATTTATCTCCTTTATTTGAATTTTTGGCAACTTATTTTGTTTATTTATCTGATTCTGAAATGGTTAGATAATTTGAATAATGTAATTATTGTCTTATATTTTTAGCTGTCATACAAATCTATAAAAAGAAAATGTTAAGTAAAAAATATATATTAAACAAAAAATAATATTTTCGGACTTGTATGAAGTCAGAGACATATGACATCAAGTCGAAGGCATACAGTGTTGAAGGCTTCTAATATTAGAAGTTATAATATTGGAGTCCGTAGATTTGTAATATTGAATGTATATAGTTTCAGTGATTGGCCGTGGGGATATTGAGATAGTTGTTGTGTTCTTAAATATTTTAATTTTTTATATAATGTAAGTATATTTTTATATTTTTTATTAATAATTCAATTTTATATAATAAAATTTTATAATTCTATTCTTAAATTTTTAAATTTTTTTTTTGAATAATGACGAGGTCAACGTATCACATGTTTGAATATCTAATGCACTGCAGATTATCCAATAACTAATCCACTTTTGCATCAGTCATCACATGCTCACATATCAATTTCCGAGAGTGGAAAAAAAGAATCCATAACGTGAGCTTAACTTGATTATTTTATATAACTGTTCTTAAAAGTCTACCTCAGTAATATTTTGTTATTTTTTTCATTTTTATTTTATTGTAAACTTTTATGTTATATTTAAAATTTGATTGAATTTAATGCGATCAGTTAATTAAATATTAATTTAAATTTATAGACTTTGTATGATGTATTTATGCACATATGATAATTAGATTTGAATAAGGGGATTGGAATTAGAGATTTTATAATTTTTTTACAAGTTTAGAGATATTTTTTTAAAAATCATAATTATAAGTTTGAGAGTATCTAACGGTTAGTCAACACGTATTCGTTTTGAGTGGTTAATAATTTTTTAATGATTGTAATGAATCAAATAGTTAGAATGTTAACATAAAAAATAAATACCTATTTAAGCGAAAAATATTTTAAACACTTAAAATAAAAAATGGACACTTATTATTTGATTAAGCTTTTTAAACTGAGTTTATGGTTTTTTTAAATGTATATTGTACTAGTTTATTTGAATTATTCTCTAATTACAGATTTATTTGGTTGAAATTTGAAGGCCCAAAAATTGCATGTGAAGTTGAGCCCACCCTGCCTTTCAACCTTCGTTGGTTTTTTTTTTTTTTTTTGTTGATCCAAAGCATAAACAAATTTGACGAAAAAGAAGTCGAAGGCAAGAATCAAAACACACAAAATTACCAAAATTCTCTCAAGTTCAAAACTTCTCTGCGAACATTCAAAGGACTCCACCCATGGGAAATACTGAGAAGCTCTTGAACCAGATCATGGACCTGAAATTCACCTCCAAATCGCTGCAACGCCAGGCCAAGAAGTGCGAGAAGGAAGAGAAATCCGAGAAATTGAAAGTGAAGAAGGCGATCGAGAAAGGAAACATGGACGGCGCTCGGATCTACGCTGAGAACGCTATCCGTAAGCGCACTGAGCAGATGAACTACCTTCGTCTCGCTTCCCGACTCGATGCTGTGGTCGCCAGGCTCGATACCCAGGCTAAGATGACCACTATCAACAAGTCCATGGGTAACATCGTCAAGTCTCTCGAATCTTCCCTGGCCACCGGTAATTTATCATTCAAAGTTTCAATTTTTAAGTATTTATATGAAATAATACGCTATGGATTTGTTAGCATTGCTTTCATTTTTTAAAATAAATTTTATTTTGATATCAAAATGGTAAAGTTTAAGGGGTTTTTTTTGTATGATGCAGGCAATTTGCAGAAAATGTCGGAGACAATGGATAAATTCGAGAAGCAATTTGTGAATATGGAGGTCCAGGCAGAGTTTATGGAGAGTGCTATGTCCGGCTCTACTTCATTGTCCACGCCAGAAGGTGAGGTCAACAGCTTGATGCAACAAGTGGCTGATGATTATGGGTTGGAGGTCTCTGTTGGGTTGCCACAGCCTGCTGCTCATGCCGTGCCGACCAAGACGCAGGAGAAGGTTGACGAGGACGATTTGTCGAGCCGGCTTGCAGAGCTTAAGGCTAGAGGTTAAAAATATTAAGGGGCGGAATCCATTTGAATGCGCTTGTGATAAGACTGATATTTAGGATTATTATTTATGCTTAAAGATCTAGTTGTATGTGTATATAATTACTGAATTGGGTTCCTCTTTCGATTGTTTCGTCTTGTGCTTGTTTCATATAAATGAGCTGTTGCCTTCTGTGTGAACTTCCACTGTAAAATTTGCCCGAAATTCCTGTGTGAATGTAGGCATGTGGGATGATTTAGTGTTTGCGAATGCATTGGTAGAGAGGTTTGCTAGTTTGTTGTTGATGCTTCCGGCCAAGATGTTTCAGCTTAATCGCATGATTAAAGAAGGCATTTATGCTTCTGAAGGTTGTGGTTCGATCATTTATTCATCAAGTGAATGGATTAGGTAAATGCTGTTGAAACAACGGTTGAATGCAGTTCAATGATGCTCAAAGATCTTGTTCTGTGTAAATCTTGCTTATTCAGGCTATGTTTTCCGATGTCATATGTCGTGCTTGTTCCCTATAAATGAGTTGATGCCTTAAGTGTGAGTTTTGACTTTAGATTTTCCTCTAAATTCCTGTAAGAATGTGGTATATGAGATGATTTGATCTGTGTGAATGCATTGGTAGGGAGGTTGGTATTGGTGTTTCTGGCTTTAATCCTATGGTCAAAGAATGTTTTGATTCTTGTGATTGTGAGGGTTGAGAAGTGATTCAATCATTTATTGTTCATCAAGTCTATGGATTAGGTTAATGCTTAATGTTGATAATTATGGAACTCAAAGAGTTAGGATCTTTGATCTTAATTTGCTCATTTCCATGGAAAAAAAACTTGCTAAACACTAATCCATTTCTTTACTAACATCAAATAGCATGCCAAAGACAACAGAATCCAATATACATGTATATATATATATATAATGGTCTGGACTTTTATTCTCTTTGCATTAAAGGGAAGGGGATTTTTGACAATCCTCCAAGGCTAGGCAGAGGCTTTTGAGACACTACTGGTAAGCCTTTGAAATCCTTTCTGCACCTTCTGAAAGAGTTTAGGAGACTGAACACGAGACAGACGGAAACCGACCGAATCAAGATACCATCCGCTTCTCCCGTTGAACCCCGAGATTCGTCCTCCCTCTACGGAGAAAGAGAATGGTGACCCTTCTTCAACTCCGTACGGACCAAACGTTCTTCGGTTACTCTTAAACGTGAGTGATCGAATCACGGGGCTACCACCATGAACCACAGGACAGTAATGACCAGTTACACTGATTAAGAATTCTTCAGGAAATTTCACCTTAATCTAGATAGCAATTTAAACAATCAATGATTATAACGAGTATAACACATCAAAAGAAAAAAAACGAAAAAAAAAGGTTCTTAGGCTAACCTCAGCTGTCTTGCTTCCTCCTACACCGCCGTGTTTCTCTGCCGTAACAGGCTTACCATTCTTATCGTAAATCACTTTAATCGAGTCGATGCAGCGATCGTAAACGAGTGTGATTTCTCTTACGCCGTGATAAATCCCATCGTCCCAAGCAGTTCCACCATTTCCTCCCCATGGTCCTACCATCACACTCATCTTTTTCTTACTGCTCGACTGATAGTTCCATATGCAAAGTTAACTATATGTCCAATTATCTAAGAAGCCAAGCAAGGAGAAAAGCACAAAGTTATTTAGGATTTTCTCACCATATGAACCAGCCGAAGTTGGAAGACAAGATGCTGAATTGGGATTAAACAATGAGGTTTGATCTTCGATGTAAACAAAGAAGATTTAGTTTGTAGTGGAAAATAAGTGGTGCTAATATCGAAAGAAACTGGAATCAGATGCCAGTTCCAGCACTTTCCGAGAATTGGGAATAATGCTTTTGCCTTTTTTCTGGTTCGTCAATAAACATTTCCAGAATTAATTCTCAATTGGTTTAACGGGATGGAATATTAGTCTTTGATCAGAATTTCAGATATTAAGGTTGAGAACAAAGAAAATTAAATCGGAAGGGATAAACCTTTAATATTACCAGATTTGGATTAATCGAATACCAATGATTATACTAACAAAAAAAATAACATTTTTATAAATACATATCGAGTCAAATAATTCAATTTGAATAAAAAGTAATTCAGCCAACGAAATTGAATAAAATTGTAATAAAAAAAATATCAAATCGAAGAAAAAGAAATAGAATGACAAAAAAACACGAGCGAAGAAGAGAAAATTCAACCTTTAAGAAATATCCCAAGTACATATGAGTTACATACATGGAACATGTTAACATCCATCACATATTCATTTTTTTTTTCTCGCAAAATAAATTTTTATAAAGTAAATTATACTGTTAAATTTCACATTGAGTTCCTAAGAGATTAAAAAAAGTTTGGGTGGTAGAGGTTAGAGTTTCTGTTGACAATGGCAATATTCTTCATAAACAATGACAAGAAAGTTGGAAAGGAAGATACCTAATCGGAGAAGGCGACAAGTTTCAGAGACTTTAGTAATCGAACTGCTCATGTGGTACGATCATCTTCCTCATGGAATCTTGGTTTACTTTCTGGTTTTGGTGGTTCAAAATCAAGCTTACCTTCATCAAATCTCGACGAATTTCACGATAAGTTGTTTGCATTATTTCAAAACATAAAAAATATTATAATCATTAAAGGTCTTGAATTCGAATATACCAGATATAAAAATATTTGAATATCTAATGATTGAAAATTTAAAGTGCAATTGTCAACTTAAACATAATGAATGATCAATCTAATAATTAGCGTTCAATAAAAACATCACTATTTGATGTAATAATTAGAATTGCACGGCAATTGTGTTAATGAATTCAAGCATGTGAATGAATTGGGGGTCAACTTTTAAGATACGAGTAGATTTCAAAAGTTGAAATAATTTCAGAGGGCACGTTTCCCAACATGTTTATCCAGTTTGGTAACCGTAGATGTCCTTGCGTTTGAGGTCCCTAGAATTTCGGCCAAACACATCATGTACACCCATTGACAAAGACCGTTCATTTAGGGATGTATATGTGATTTGTCCGAATATATTATCAATTATAAATTATTCGTTTAATATATAAATTATCACTTTTATTTAATTTTAATATCTAAATTTTATTTTATTTTTTAAAATCATATTTAATATTTAGTTAAAATAACAATTTGATACACCGTTGTTGAAAATTTAACACCAATATTGATGGAGGATATAATATAAGTATTAAATTCAGTATAATAAAGAAAGATTCACACTATAATTGAGTGGCTAAACTTTTAGTCATTAATATAAAATGTATCATATTCCAATCTTATTATCATCGAAAAATATTTATTTTGTAGTGATACTGTCATATAAGTTAAATAAAAAATGTGGCGAAAATTAACTTAAATGGGTGGCTTAATTCAATGGTTAAGTGCCTTACATCTCATGCAAGTATTCTAGGTTCAATTTATTTTGGCAGCAAAAATAATTTCTTCCAAAAAAAAATTTAAAAGTACCAAAAGATAAAGGGATGTGGAAATTAAAAAATAATTAGAAAAATTGACATGTCATGACAAATCAATATATGGTGGTATCAAATTGTAATTTAAACTAAACATTAGATATTATTTTGAAAAAAATAAAGTTTAGGCACTAAAACAAACAAAAGTGATAATTTAAGTACTAAACTTATAATTTACCCTTTTAATATTTACTTAATAAGAATAATTTAATTAGTGATATGTTTCAGTATAATCATATTCATGGTGTGTTTCGTTATACAACATATGTGGCATAATTTTTCTTCATTTAGAGATTTATTACCAAAAAAGAATCAGAGAAATGAAATAATTAAGATAATAGAATACTTTTATTATAATTGTTAAAATCATCGTCGTGGATTATTAATAGTTTTGATAAAAAAATCTTATATATTATATTTAAAATAAATGAATTAAAATCGTGAATAGTTATTAATAATTTTAGATTTAATTAAAAAAAATAAGTATAAAGTTATATCTCTTACGTAGTTTACGTATTTAATTTGACAATTTTTTTAAAATATTTAACTTAAATAAGAGATATAATTTAAATTATTTTTAGTTCGTATCATAATTTTATTAAAATCAATGATAATTATCGAGTTGAAATCTTAAATTTAATTTAATTTTATCATTGGATTTAGAAAAAGAAGTATAATATTGCTTAACATTAATCTCTAATGCATAATTTAGATGAACAAACGACGCAGCACCTCTTACACTTCGACGAAACTGTCCGTTAAAAAAACGTGCTTCCTTGTTTACTGTCCAAGATTTTAGGGCTACTTATTACAACCGCCAGAAATGTCAGAAACAATGAAGACAATTAAGCACGTGTAGAGGCTGTGGCCGGCGATAACTTCAACTCTCTATCTATAAAGTCGTCTACAGCTTTTTTATAAAGCAGACAACTCAAAGGGCACAGTTGGAGTGGCGAGCGTTTGGACATTTCCTCCGCTATCTCTTCAATCAACTTTTTTCAAGCTTGATTTTTTCCATGAAAACAAGCATGGGTTTCTCCAAGTTGGTCTCTTTGGTTCTGATACTTCATCTCCTTAATCCAATAGTCGTTTTTTCATCGTCTTCAAGCTCTTCCAATGGGTTGTCTGAAATCCCTAAAAAGTTTCTCAATTTCGCTAAACGAAAGGAGCTCGTTGATTGGATGGTGGGAATCAGGAGGAAAATACACGAGAATCCTGAATTGGGGTATGAGGAATTTGAGACTAGTAAGTTGATCAGATCAGAATTGGATAAACTGGGTATTCCTTATAATTACCCTGTTTCAGTCACTGGTGTTGTCGGCTTTGTTGGGACCGGTAAACCCCCTTTTGTTGCTATAAGGGCAGACATGGATGCTCTCCCTATTCAGGTTTGAAATTTTTTCAGTTTTTCACATATTTCTGGGTTAGTGTTGTTCATCATTGAGTTTTGATCAACTATAACTTCCATTAATGAGCTGTTTAAATGTGCAGGAAGAGGTGGATTGGGAGCACAAGAGTAAAATTCCTGGAAAGATGCATGCTTGCGGGCACGATGCTCATGTTTCCATGCTTCTTGGTGCTGCAAAAATACTAAAAGAGCATTTTGAAGAGTTGAAGGTGTGTCGTGTTAATTTTCTCTTGCTAAACTTTATGCTTAATCGTTTGTTTTATGATTAAATTATCTGTCTGCTGCTCATATTTTGCATTAGTAATGGTACCAAATGCCATTTCACTCTAAGCAGATTTTGATTGTTGATTTGTTTATCAGAAACCGATGTCATTGAGCCTTTAAGTTTGGTTTTTAGGCCTCTTGTTGATGCTTATAGTATGTTCCGAGTCGAACTGAAGTAATCGTCGATAAACCGACTGCAGAATATAGCTTACTGTCAATTTAGCCTGTGATTCTGTTGTTGGTATCAGTTTGCCTACTGATTTTCACATTGTGCTCCGACGGTTTCAAGTGTGTTAGGCCTGTTAGCTTCCATGTTTCCCTTATGAGGTACTTGATGCTGTTTGGTTTTGTTTCTTAATCAGGGCACAGTTGTTCTTGTTTTCCAACCGGCAGAGGAAGGCGGTGGAGGGGCAAAGAAGATGTTAGATGAAGGTGTGTTAAACAATGTCGAAGCAATCTTTGGACTGCATGTTACGCATGAGAATCCGATCGGAACAGTGGCCTCCAAGTCGGGTTCTTTATTAGCTGGAAGCGGCATATTCAATGCTGTAATAAGCGGAAGAGGAGGCCACGCAGCGATTCCTCAACATTCGATTGACCCAATTTTGGCAGCCTCGAATGTTATTGTCAGCCTACAACATCTTGTGTCGCGCGAAGCTGATCCATTAGATTCCCAGGTACATTAGTCCTTTGCTTTCTATGCACATTAGGAAATGATTTGGCTCATCTTTTTGCCTCCTTTCTTCAAATGCGTCCTTTTTTGCGACACTATTTCCTTGTAGGTGGTGACAGTTGCAAAGTTTCAAGGAGGCAGTGCTTTCAATGTTATTCCAGATTCCGTTACTATCGGAGGGACCTTCCGAGCATTTTTGAAAGCGAGTTTAGTACAACTTAAGAACCGGATCGAGGAGGTAAATAGACAAGAAAAGCTCTGTGAATGACTGAAAGTTCCAAAAGAGGTTCATATATGTTGTGGTTTTACTATCTCAGAAACCTGATTTACTCAAGTTGACAGGTTATCAAAGGGCAAGCTGCCGTGCAAAGGTGCAATGCAACCATCGATTTTCACGATAAACCGGTACCCTTTTTCCCTCCGACGGTCAATGATAAGGATTTGCACGAGCATTTCCTGAACGTTGCGGGGGATATGCTTGGCAATGACAAAGTTAATGACATGAAACCATTGATGGGATCCGAGGATTTTGCATTTTACCAAGAGGCGATTCCCGGTATTTCTTTTTCCTTGGAATGCAAGATGAGAGCAGACCAAAGCTCAGCTCAGTCCACACGCCACACTTCATGATCAATGAAGATGTTCTTCATTATGGTGCTGCTCTTCATGCATCATTGGCTACCACCCATCTCCTTAAAGCAGAGTTGAAACTTCGTTCCACACAAGGCAATTTACATGATGAACTGTGAAGATTCTTTACTGTTTTAATGGAGTTACACTTGTATTGAAGGATTCTTTCTTTAAAAAAAAAAAGAAATATAAAACTTATTAATGTGATAATTAAATCTCTATTTTTTAGAGAATTTGTTTCAAGATTATCCGTGTAAAAAAATGTGAAACTAAATATTTATTCTTTAGTGGCTAAGGCAAAATCTACTAGTCAGTGAGTAAAATTAGACTTGATTTTAAAAATTTCAAATAAAATTTAAATGATAAAATATGATTCGTTAACTCGGTTAATTTGAAATTATTAATTCAACTAATTAAAATATTAACTCCCAACTTGATCAAATTAGAATCGCTCCTCTAATATTATAAAATATTTATATAACTTCAATTCCAAATATTTATGTACCTTCAATTTCTAATTTTAACAATAAATTTATTTTTTATAATTTAATCTCTTAATTTTATGATTTATTCAATTTATTTTTTACTATAATTTATTTTTTCAATTTCTTTTTCTCAACTCTTTTATACTCTCATCAATATTTTTCTCCAAAATTCATTCTTTAAAAATTTAAATTATAAAATATTTTATAATTTTGGGTATCATTTGATTTATTTAATAACATCATAAAATATATATGATCAGAAAAGTAGTTAAATTTGATCAATTTATATTATAATATTATAATTATTTATAATTAAATTTTAAAAATAAAAAAAATTAACTAGACTCTAAATAAGATTCAAATATTAAAATATAATTCGTCAATTTAATTAATTTAATTTTTTTAAATCAACTTAATTGAATACCAATAGTCTCAACAACGTCACTAAATGTATTAGAAACTACCGTACCATGGTTCTCCAATCATGTCTACTGCCTGGCTTTATTCCATCATCTTCACTTTCAGTCACACTACTCATTGTTTAAACTATTAGAATGTCAAACAAATTGTTGATGTTGGCTGCCAAGAGAACCCCACTATCAAGATTCCACACACTTGTCTCCAAATGTTTGTGATCCACTATTTCAATAATGACAGTTAAGAGTGGCACTATTTGAAATTGTTATTATATGATTATTATATGCAAAATATTTGTAATAATACTTTTTATATTATCTACAATAAATGTAACGCAACAAAAAAAAAACGTAACTGTAAACACAACTTTAATCTTTGGTTGTATATGCTCCTGGAAAGCATCATAGACCTCCACCATTATATTTTGTTTTTCTTCTTTTTGACCGACGGAATCAGTACCAGTGGGTTAGGCCGATGATGATATTTGCCTATAAAAAGTGAAGCCCAAAATTGAAGCTTTTGTCATCATTTACGCTTCCAGGGTCATTTTAAGGGTGTGAATGAATATTCATTCTCATTCCGTCGATCATTTTAAGGGTGTGAATTAATAAATTTTAACTAATAAAATTATATTTATTTATTTTTTGAAGTGTTTGTATTTAATTAATATTTGTTTAAATTTTTAATATTTTGTTTGTTTGTTTTTATTTATTTATTTTTGAAAATATTTATGTTCATTCGTTTAGAGTTTGCGAATATATTTGTTTAACGTTCGTAAATATATTCCTTCTTGTTCTAGATGATGTGTGAGGTGCAGATGATGGGTGGTTCTGCGGTGCGGCGCCTAAAAAACGGCTAATATACGGCGTGACCGGTTAAACAAGTGACCGGTTAAAATTTAGACCGGTTATGTTATATTATTTAACCGGAAATATTATAAAGTACAATAACATACTAGGTAGCGCTTATATAATGTAATAGGTAGCGCTTATATTTACCTATTTTATAAGTAAACCGGTATATTTATACCGATAGCATTGCAAATTTACCTATTACATTATATTATATTGAAAGTGTCCATACTTTTTATAAAAAGGATCGATACTTTAACAGTGTTTCATGTTTTCCACCTACAATATTAATTTAATAATTTAATTTGCACAAAAAATTATTTGATTGTTTTGATATTTTATAAAATAATATTTAGAATTTTTAATTTAATAATAATATATATCGTAACGTAAAAAATAAATCATTAGACGCCTATAATTACTAAATATAACCACTACCTATTACATTATATAAACGATACCTATTACATTATATAAGGGCTACCTATTACATCATATGTTTACCTATTATATTGAAAGTGTCCATACTTTTTATAAAAAGGATCGATACTTTTTTTTAAACTTATGTAATTTATGTTTCAATTTTTTTAACAGTGTACTGCGAATTTAAAATGATAATATACTTGTAGTTATTGTACATACCTAAATATGTACTGCGAATTTAATGTTGTACCCACCCTTTAACTACCACTACCAATGCCACATCCTATTGAAAGCAGCACGACAGAAACATGTTCAAAATGAACCTTCGTTTACATATCCATCAACTCCTGGAGCACTGAACTTGCACAACAAAATTTTTGCCATGGATAATACTGATGTAGACAATGTTAAGCCAACCGAGGAATGCCATGAAGTACATAATGTTGATGAATCTGACAGATTGGTTGGTCAGCTCTTCTGTTCACGTGATCAAGCTTGGCACTTTTACAAGGGATTCGCACGGGAACATGGGTTTAGTGCACGTAAGGAACAACACGGCTTGACGTGGAAGGGAATGTGAAGACACAAGAATTTTGTTGTTCCAAAGAAGGGTTTCGAGTATCAAAAGTCAATACTGTTGATCGTCAACGTGCTCATACGCCAGTCACAAGAACAGGATGTAAGGCTAGAGTCGTAGTTACAGCAACAAATACAAACGATCAGTGGGTTATAAGTAAGTCTGATCAGAAACATAATCATGCATTGTGCACATCTGCTATGACACCATTTATGCGTTCTAATCGAGCTGTAAGTAAGGCTGATATCGATGAGGCAACAACATTGAAAGAGGTCGGTGTTGGCACGTCACAAGTAATGAACTATTTAACGCAGCAGGCAGGGGGCTATCATAATGTTGGATTTACACATAAAGACCTCTACAATGCACTTCAAAGAGGTAAAGCAAAGGAAATCGTCGATGGGGATGTGAATGCGCTTATTGCCTACTTTGATTATAAGAAACATGATGATCCCGGTTTTTTATGACATACTCGGTAGACGAATCGGGGGCATTGTATAATCTTATTTGGTCGGATTCTACATCGAGATCGGATTACACATGCTTCGGTGATGTAATTGCGTTCGACACAACGTACAAAGATAATTTGTATGGTCGACCAATTATGCCTATTGTTGGTGTCAATCATCACCATAACACAATTGTGTTTGCCACTGCCATAATCGCTGACGAAACGTCTCAATCTTTCGAGTGGGTGCTACAGAATTTTTAGAAGCCATGATGAATAAATCACCTATTTCTGTTGTAACCGATGGGGATAGGGCAATGCAGAGGGCTATCAAATCTGTTATCCCTTATGCTAAGCACAAATTATGTTCTTGGCATCTTTCTCGCAATGCACAAGCTAACATTGGTGACCCAAAGTTTACAGCAGCATTCTCAAAATGCATGGCTTCCTGGTGGACAACCAAGGAATTTGATATTCAATGGCGTTCGATTGTTTCAGAATTCAACGTCCAAAAGCATCCATGGGTGATTGAGAAGGGAAATACACGACACTTATGGGCACAAGCATATCTAACCGGTCATTTCTTTGCCAATATTCGCTCAACACAAAGGTGCGAGTCTATGAATGCTTCACTAGCTATTGCACTGAAACACAAGAAGACATATTTAGATGTTGTTCGTGCAATTGAAGATGGAATTAGTAGAATGCGTATGAACGAGTTGAAAGCGGATTACTTAAGTTCCCATACGAAGCCCTTCCAGATCACAAAACTGGTCGACCTTGAAAGCCATGCCGCTGCGATTTTTACCCGCGAATCTTTTCGTGTGTTCCAAGATGAACTTATACGGGAGACATTGTACCGGATTGAGGCAGAGATTAAGTCCTTATCAGATGAATGTCAACATTATATTTTGTCAAAGTACGCAGAAAAAATAGGAAATTTGAAATTAGTTTTGATTCTCGTACGAAAACTCTAATTTGCTCCTGCAAAAAATTCGAGACCGTTGGACTTCCGTGTCGCCATCAACTTCACATTTTGAAGCAATTGGACTACACATATTTGCCCGGGACTTTGATTCAAAGTAGGTGGACTAATGATGCGAAGGCTTCTGCACCCAGCTATGTTGATTTGAATGTGTCTCCAGAAGTGATGCAAATGGCAAGGTTCGCTGCTCTACGTTCAACGTCAAGTAGGTTATGCTACATTGCATCAAAGACAGACGAGTCTTTCAAAACCGCAAGAGATGAGATGAAAAAACTAATAGAAGAATTAGAAAACTCGTTTGGTTTGAATCATTCAGTCAACCAGAGCATTGTAGTAAACAATGTTCGTGACCCTCAACGAAAACAACGCAAGCGAAAAGAAGTGCCGAAGAACAAGGTCGAGAAGAAAATTAGGCGATGTGGGTACTGCAACGGTGAGGGGCATAACAAACTAACATGTCCTCAAGTCAAGCTTAGTTTGAGGACAAGCACACAGCCTACATCAACTGATTTTTTCGAAGACGGAATGGAATGACAACGATCTCCATAATATATCGTAAGTATCAACATCACTCCTATTGTATGTACATATAAATATTTTGAATGAAGGAAGAAAAACCGCGTTACTTCAAATTACCGATACTTTTTTAAATGGTATCGACACATTTTTATTCCAATCTGGACATAAAGTACCGACACAACATTATAAAGTGTCGATATAGGTTGTAGACCTATTCGCTCATAAAACCGGTATATTTATACCGGTTATATTACAAAATTATCTATTACATTATAATTATGGGTTCCGATGTGTAAAATGTCGACACTTTTTTAAATCGTATCGACACATTTTTCTTCCAATATGGACCTATTTTATTATAATATGTTGAAAGTGTCCATACTTTTTATAAAAAGGATCGATACTTTTTTTTAAAGATATGTAATTTATGTTTCAATATTTTTTAAGTATGTTTCATGTT